GGTTCATAGGATGCTTATGTATGCTACTATTTGCAAAAGTGTCAATAACACTGACAGGACCATCTGCAAGATGATTATTGCAGGATTTACCGGTCAACTAAGAGGATGGTGGGATAATTATATGCCCTCTGATGCCAGAGCAGCAGTAATTAATGCTAAGGCAGCAAATGAAGGTCATGGCAATTTAGGCTTTGCCCTTGTTCAAAATAGAGAAGACACTATGTATACACTTATTTTGACTATTCTTAAACATTTTAGGGGTAGATTTACCAATCAATATGAAACCATTAGATATCTTCTAAATGGTCTTAGATGTAGACATTTAGGTGAGTTTACATGGTATAAAGACACTTATTTAAGTCGGGTCATGGAACTTCCCGAAAATGGTTTAGAATTCTGGAAAGCCAAATTTATTGATGGCTTACCTTCTTTATTTGCAGAAAGAGTAAACAAGACTCTTAGAAATCCTCAAGGAATTATTCCCTATAGTGATTTTACTTATGGAAAGCTTATTGGGGCTTGTACGCAAGAAGGAATAAATTTGTGCAATGAGTTAAAACTCTCAAGACAGCTTAAGATGGATAAGCTTAGAGAAAAGTCTCAATTAGGAGATTTTTGTACTCAATTCGGTTTACCGAATGCTTCAAAAAGCACCAACCGAGAAACTTCTAAATCAGAATCTCATAGATCTCATCATAAAAAAAGAAGATCTAGAAGAAGGACTAGAGAAGAAAGAGATGAGCGTAGGACTCATCGTAAATCTCATAGATTTACAAGGAATAGGTCAAGGCGAAATCTTGATAAGATTAAGTGTTATAAATGTGGAAAATTTGGGCATATAACTCCAAATTGTAAGCTGGAAAAGCTTAAGACTCTAGAACTTGATGATGATATTCAAGAGAAGATTTATAGTTTTCTATATACTTCTGGTTCCGAATCAGATTATGATGATTCTGAGGCAAGTTATGCAACAGAGGATGAGCAACCTGAGCCTTCTAAGGTTCATCAAGATTCGAATGATGCTTGCAAATGTCATGGTGATATTTGTCACTGCGAACATGATGAATTTTACAAGCTGCAATCTCAGTTTGAAGATATGAAAATGTTCACTATCACTGCTGATAATGTAATAGAACTTCTAAAAGAAGTTACCAATAATACTCTTCGTGAAAAGATCATTCAATTGGCTGCTAGTAAAACTAGCTCTTCAACTAATATTCCTAACGATAAAAAGGTTAAAGATGAGTTTAATTATTCTGCTCCTTACTCCTTGTCTGAAGTTTATAATAGACTCTCTTCAACATGATTATTCGTGATACCTCTTTTGATGATTTAAAAGGAGAAATTGAACATTTGAAGGAAGAAATTAAATTTCTTAAACAAAACCATATTATTTGTGATCACCGTCTTACTCAGATTGAGTCTGCTAATAGCAAAGGAAAAAATAAGGTTGATGAATCTACTACTGAAGAAAATACTCTTGCCAACACCTTGAATATTGATCCGAAACAAAATATGTTTTTAGGAATGATGCAAATTGTTACAGCTCATAAATGGTATGTTAAATGTACTATATTAATTGATAATACTTTTTCTATAACTAACATTGCTATGATTGATAGTGGCGCTGATGTGAGTTGCATTCAAGAAGATCTAGTACCTACTAAATATTTTGAAAAAACAACTCATATGGTTAAATCTGCACTGGTCATGCTTTGGATATAAAGTATAAATTATCTAATACTCGGATTTGCCAGAATAAAGTTTGTATTCCTCACTTCTTTTTCTTAGTAAAAAATCAGTTATACCCTCCTATTATTCTAGGAACTCCTTTTATAAATGCAATTTATCCTTTTACTAATATAAATGCTAAAGGATTTTCTGCTACTTATAAAAATAAAGATATTAGTTATACTTTTATCACCGAGCCTATTTCTAGAGATATTAATGCTCTAATTGAAATGAAACAAAAGCATGTTGATTATTTACAACTTGAGATACTTAGTATGAATATATTCGATACTTTAAAATATGCTAAAGTACAGGAAAAGATTAAATTCATTTCTGAAAAAATGGCCATTGATATTTGTGCTGATCATACTAGTGCTTTTTGGAATCGGAAAAAGCATATTGTAACTCTTCCATATGAAGATGATTTCTCTGAAGAAAATATCCCTACCAAATCACGTCCTTGTCAGATGAATACCGAATTGGTTGAATTCTGCAAAAAGGAAATTGATAATTTATTGCAAAAGGGTTTAATGAAACCTTCCAAGTCACCCTGGTCTTGTACTGCATTTTATGTTAATAACGCAACAGAAAAAGAACGAGGTGTTCCCAGGTTAGTAATGAATTGTAAACCTTTAAATAAATTTTTAAAATGCATTAGGTATCCTATTCCAAACAAAAGGGATTTATTATCAAGATTATATGATGCTAATATCTTTTCAAAATTTGATTCAAAATCTGGATATTGGCAAATCCAAATATTTAAAGATCATTCTTATAGAACGACATTTAATGTTCCGTTTGGCCAATACGAATGGAATGTAATGCCCTTTGGATTAAAAAATGCTCCCTCGGAATTTCAAAAGATTATGAATGATATTTTTAATCCTTATTTGGATTTCATCATAGTTTATATTGATGATATTTTGGTATACTCAAAGACTATAGAAATACATATTAAGCATCTAGATATTTTTAAGAAAATAGTTATTCAAAATGGTTTGGTCATATCTAAACCTAAAATGAGTATTTTTCAAACAGAAATTATATTTTTGGGTCATTTGATTTGTCAAGGGAAAATGACTCATATTCAGCGATCTATTGAATTTGCATATAAATTCCCTGATATTATTACAGATAGGACGCAATTGCAGCGGTTTCTGGGAAGTTTAAATTACATTTCCCCTTCTACAAAAATTTGTCTCGAGATTTAGCTCTGTTATACGACAGGCTGAAATAAATCATAAGAAGCCTTGGACTACTAGTCTCATGATCTTGTAAAGTCTATTAAAGAAAGAGTTAAATCTTTGCCTTGTTTAACTCTTGCTAATCCTGTTTGGCCAAAGATCGTTGAGACAGATGCGTCCAATATAGGTTATGGTGGAATATTAAAACGATACAGGATCACTGACTTGGCGGTGGTCCGCCCCAGTCATAGATCAAGCAAGTTAATATCCTTAGAGGTAGTCCAACTACATAAGAATCGAAATACACAAGAATTTTAAACATAGTTTCTCCGACTGCATGGTTTAATTATTTTACCCAAGCAAAGGGCCTGTCAAGAAGCTAATACATGCTTTTTATTGAGCCCATGTATCTGATAGTTCTAACCGGGTATGAGGCGCCCTACTTATCAAACTCAATTTCGGGCTAAAAACCACGGCTCATCAGACGGAGTAATAAAGACAAAACCAATAAAAGTAGTAATAGATCTGACTGTACCTCAATCTCAAAAACCAAGTCGAGAAGCCATACTAAAATTCTTCTTATATT